CCGGAACGGACCTTCACTCGTTCGTTTCGTTAAGTATTATGCGAAATACAGACTCTTAGTATTATGCGAAATACAGACTCTTACTTCCACCATCACCTCGCCTCCTCCGTCCTCCCTCATCGGCTCCTTTGCGCTGAAGTCAACAAAAACTAGCCCACGGTGCTCGAACATCATACAGCAATCCGGGCCGCGTGGGAATCTAACCGAACAGAGGGCAATGCAAAACAGAAAGAAACATTTGTCTTCGCTTTGTGCGCATCGGCCTTGCGCAGAGGCCATGCTAATCTTCTCCGTATTGTTCCAATTTTAACAGATGTCTCGAAGGACCAGGCCGTACGATGGCCTGGCGGAGCTGCCACCGTGTCGACCGGTCTTAAACAACTCAGAATCTTCGGTTTCACTCATCAAATTCCATCATCTGGGTTCGAACATGGGTCTGTACTTCAACTATTCAACGGTATACCCACTGGGCTAAACTCTCGGGTCCGCGGCCGGTCTCGGAATCGGTACCGGGCCTCGATAAAACTTCAAATAAAAGAAAAAATAAATAATAAGAAGAACAAAAAGAAAAAACTTTAGACAAAAAGGGAAAGCTGACGGGGAGAGGAGGAGGGACCTTCTGGCTCTTCCCTAGCCCCGCCGAGCGGGCCCGCGATCGGACTCCCCCGACAAAACTAAGGGGGATAGTCCCACGGGACCCTCAACCCCTCAGCTCCTTCGCCGCTCCATTACTCCTGCTCCGTCGCTTGCGGGCCTCGATCCTCGCATCTCCGTGTCATAAGTCCAATGCCATAACCTATAGGGCTAAGCCCAAGCCTGAAACCAGCGTGCGCAGACTCCTATATAAAGCGGTGCAGCACGATTCTCGGGGACAAAAAGGTGGCCTGGGCCTCATCTCCGCCTATAACCAAGCGTGCGGCCGTTAAACACCCTCGCCGGCTTACTCCAACTACGCCACGGCGGCCACGCTCACCCAACCTACCGCCAGTTAGCATGTAGGACAAAGCCCAAGCCTTTTGATATCCCGTCTGATCGATAATAAAAATCAACTCATTTCGTTATGCCGGCTTCACAATCAAAATACAAGAGAAGGAATCACACGCGCGCCTTAAAACTGCGCGCCCACTCACTCTTCTCAGTCGAGCAATCCTTAGTCTGCGTACGGACGACCACCTTGTTCCGCGCCGATACTCCAAAATTTCCGAATCAATCAAACTTTTTGTTACTTGTTAAAAACAGGGCGGATACCCTTGTCTGGGTATTCGCGTCGACAGCACAACTATGGCGGACTTCTTTCTCTGATGGTGCACCTCGGCTATGGCGCCTCACTGGCACGCGACTCCTTCCCTATCAGCAACGACTATGGCGCGTGGGGTAACGGGAACCAGCTCCGATACCGGTGCAATCAGACTCGCTTTCACTTCCACTTCACATACATGCAAACAGATGGGGATTCACACTGCCGCAGGGTGCCCACTCAAAGCTTAGAGATATGGAAATCAAGAACACAGTTTAGATGCAAGTTCACTTCAACAGGCTATGGCCCTTCGGTACCATAGGGTAAGTGCACATCCATAGGGCGAGGGGATAGGCTAAGGGCTTGGCGAGATTATACCAACTCCAGCTTGATCAAAATCGTGGTCAACAAGCTCCAGTCAACGCCTTCGTTAACGCTTGGTCAAACCCCGGTCAACTCCCAAGTCGGCTATGGTTGCCGGCACTTTCTTCCTCGTGAATTCCCCTTCTCTTCACCTTCTTCACCTTTCTTTTATCTCGCCCCTTTCTTCTTCCTTCCTCTTTCTCTTCTTCTTTTTTTTTTTTTTTTTTTTTTTTTTTTTTTTTTTTTTTTTTT